CTGAAGGCAGAGCCCCAAATGCCCACCCCTGATGCTATCTTTCCCAAGCCATTCGGATGTACTGGACTGCAACTCCCAGAATTCCTAGCCAGCATATATTCCAAACTGGTCATGCACAAGTCCATTACTTGGCTTTGAAAGGCTATAATCCTTTTGGTGTGGAACAAAGTACGTACATTGGGACTGGCTCTGACCCATCGCTACAACAAAATTTCAATTCTTGGGAGGAGTTTTGAGGATTCTGGTGCTCCCAGAGAGTCACTTGAAACTTTGCTCTCCTGGCCCTTCTGTTGACTGATCTGATGGGGGCAAATGTTTAGGAAGAGGCTTTTCTAGCTTTGAGAACTTTGCACTGTAATGGAAACTGCATGTCAGATTTCAGTAAGTGGCTCAAGTATCTGTATAGATGCCTCTTACATATACCCTTGGGGGCACTTGTTTCTCCTCTCCTCCAATTCTAGATCTGAGCATCTCTTTCCCCAGAAAAGGGCATGTTCCATCACTGGGAAGAAAGCCTGACAGCTAGATAGTTCCAATATATTGCCCATGGGGTTTTTGCTGAGCATTATGGGAGTTTCAATCCTACATGTAGGTAGGAGAAGGCTGCCCTAGCATATATCATGCAGTTTCTTACCACTTGCCTGTACTGTTCACATGCTGAACAACCCAGTGGTTTCCCTCATTGACTTTGACCCCAAAACATCTGAGTGAACTCTACCTAAATGTCTCCACAAATAAAAAACATCAAAAGGTCCTTCACAAATTATGCACAACTGATCACTGTTTACTTCAAACATCAAGATTTATCAAACATTTAGCCCCTCAACCCAATCCACATGGGAGTTTCATTTAATCTCTCTCAGGGGCTTATACATGGCACAAATTCTTCCACATTAAATAGATGCTATTTCAAGATGGGAGGTGGGGAGAATAAAGTAGATGCCTCCTAGACCAAGCATCAGAGAACAGAATTAAAGCTGAACCAACCTATAAGATTATAAAGCCACATTCGGGTTAGGGTAAATTCAATTAAAATAATCCAGTTTAATTAAATGGGATAGGAATTCAGGGCAAAGGGCAGTTTGCTCAGGAAGGATTCACACAAGATAAGCAAAGATTTTTTTCAGATAAAATGGTTAAACAGACAATGCTTTTAAGAAGTAAAAGCAAGTGGGTCCTACCTACAACTTTCCAACTGATGCTTTGTATGCTTCAAGTCCTGCACCAATATGGATGAGGCCTGGAACACACTGTGGAGAACCAGAATTCAAAGTCCTGCAGTGGACTTAGGCACTATTCTGCTCCTACAGCAGGGTTCTGCTGGGTAGTGAAAAGAACCCGGGGTCAGGCCACAGGACAAAAAAGAAAATATGCATAATGCTGCATAAGTGAATTTAAGCATGCTCCAAAGCCTCTGTGCACACGTCTTTAAAGGACCCTGTCTTCTACGCACACCCTTAAGTATAAAAAGATGTATGGTCAGGGGAGTTGGGGGTACTTGATTTTTGGGGGGAAAATCCTCAAACAGAATGATTCAAAGGGGAGGCAGCAAGAGGCAAATCCCATGTGGACAAAAAGTCAGCTAATCCCAAAGGATCACTTACAACAGATTATAAGGGCCCCTGTACCTTTATTTCAGCAAGTGTCTATGGACCACCGGGAGGTGGGGCAGATGGTCTTCCTGAAATTCAGGGCTCCAAATGAAAAATCCAGTCCTAGTGAGCCTCCCCCAACACCACCTCTGTTCTACAGCCATTGCAGGAATAGGCTGAGCTCCCAGCCAGCTGGTGCCCTAGATCACTATTCTCTTAAATCACATTATAAGATCTGTATTTCCAACTTTCTATGCCTTGGGAGAAAGCAAGCACCTGGAACAGAATATGTAAGCAGCAAGCAGTCCAGGAAACAGGGATAGAAAGGAGAACCCTTGATTTTCAAGCTTATCTAAATTCTCCAAATATCAGTGCCTTTCGTTTTCAACCTGCTGCTCTGTTCACTTGAATGGAGAAAGCATGTACTTTGAATGGGAAAAGTGCACATTCATTTTCTAGAAGTGCATGTTTTCACCACTGGGTTTTTTTTTTTTTTTGGAAAAATGTATATTTTCATGTGTGTGCATGTTAAAAAATATGCATTTTTCTAATGTGATTGCAAATTTGGGAATCTATCAACTTTCCTAAAAAAAGAAAATTCATGAATGCAAAGAACACATTTGCATTATTTCCAAACAGAAACAAAATTCTAGGAAGCATAGTGGGAAAGTCTAATGACTTCCCTTCTCAGGTTGTAGAAGTTTCTGCTGCGGAAACATTGCAAACTCTGGGGATTTATAGCAGACACCGGACATGAGGCTCGTTCTCTGACAGTACTTGATTATCTGTGGTGTTACTGCACCCACTTAAACCTTTTCCCTGGAATAGTAATCCCATTGCCACTAGGGACAAGGAACTGGCTGCCAACCCTATAAGGAGTGTCTGCTTTGAGCCTTACTGCACCTGATACAGAAATGTCTTGTCTGATACCACGCTTGCAAAAGCAGAGCTTGCCAAGCTCATTTACCATGTTTTCTTGCTTCTGAAATATTCTCTTGAATATATATCAAATGTATTCCCAGACTCTATATGTTATCCAGGCTGGAGCAACTGCTAGTATTCTATTGCTCGAAACCTGACCACTGGTGGTCCTCCCCTTAGGGTGGCTACCTATAGGTCACCAAAAAACAGGGCATCAATTGGTATAAAGTGTGCATATGCTAATTGTTATGTATAGATGCACACTAAGAAGAATTACTGTACTTTATGCAAAAATACAATCTTATTTCATTATAATGGGGCCAACTGTGACCAATGCCCTACATCCCTGCCTGCTTACTCTACTCTTGGTGTCTGATTCCAAGGCCCATGTGCTTGTAGCAACATACTATTTTTTTACCTTTGTACTGATCTTGGACCAGTCAGCCCTTCAAATGGGGGATGCTTTGAAGGTGAAAGCTGTTTTGTGAAAGCCCTTCAAGCAGAGGAATGTTCTCTGTAAAGTTGGACACATGGTCATGTCCTTTGACGAGCAAGAACCCACGATATGCTGTATATCAGGGAATTTCAAAATAGCTCTGTACTGAAAGCAGGCACATCCTGCTATTCACACAACTAATTAAACATCCTGCTACCTGCAATTCAGAAAGGATCATACCCCAATTGATTGGGATGACAGTATCAGCCTTGCTGTCCAAATTGTTAAATAGTAGGATTTGGTTCGTATCTATTTTCACTGAAGCATTTCCATGCTCAAACATTATGTTTTCCTGAAGTATTTTAATTACTTTAAACTAGCTGCATTTTTGTGATATGTGAACACCATCTCAGCCAACTGTCTCCTACAGTCTCACAAAGTATCAGGTGAAATCTAGATCTAAAATATGTCTGCCTAAGAACACCCACCTAGTTGTGCAACAAAAAGACAACTGTACCCATACTGTAGTGCAATCCAGAACAAAATGAATGTCCTTGAGTAAACATGCTTACACAATCTTAGCATTTTGAAGGTTTGAAAGAGGAAATGAAATCTGAAAAAAGGATGACTACTTGTGACATGTATGCTTGTTCCATTTTCTCCTCTAGTAAACAAGGTGTTTTCAGATGGATGGCTCCTAGCACTACCAATCAAAACAAATTGTACAACTTTTCTGTCTTTTCCTTCTTAACAGATTTTTATAGAACAAAAAGGATCAAAGAAGAAGTGTAAAAACATGGCAGGGTTACAAGTAGAAGATCACATTGTCTGGACCTCACATAAAATTCCATGAATGGAACAAGGCAGTTGCATGATCAAAGCATGTTTCAAAACTCTGCAAAACCTGTTCAGTCAGATGCAACCAGAGGACAAAAGAAATGCATGTATATGGACTATGGAAAGCAATGCCTCTCTCAAGCCAGTTTCAAAAGTATTGTGTCAGTCTCCAACCCAGCCTCAAAACCCAATTATGCATTTTGCCTGCCAGCGAAAACCTGTATCTGAAAGCATCCACACACTGAATCAAACAACTGAGAATGCTGAAGGTATGGCACTCTGAGCAAAGAGAACTGCTGAAATTCAAGTCAATAGATGGATTTTCCATAGAAAATCTACTGCCAGAGGCTTGGAAAATAGAATGAAATAGAATTCCTCCTGCTGGCTCTGTACTTCCCCACCTAATAGGCCAGTCCTGATTTGGCCCTAGAATAAACAGAACCCACTCATTTCACTTGGTTTACAACACACACACACTCTTTCCTCTCACTTTTTTTTAAGGCTACAGGAGGCCTGAATAAGAACATGTGCTTCAAGAACGAGCTGGGACATGCTTCTGTAATCACTAGAGGGTTTAGATTATGTCGTCAGTAGCAGACAGCTGCAAAGTGGAATTCCCAGGGCTCTGTGTCTGCCAGTGGTGGGGAAGAGTGGGGGGGGGGGGGGATGCAAGCAATTAGGGCCTGAAACAAATTGGAATGGGTGGGGCAGTCTTTTTCTCTGCGCTTGCCTTCCCTGGTTCATTTAATCCCATCTTCAAGGGAGCTATCACCAAGGCTGGGTATCAGATTCTCATCCTGCACTTTAGTAATCACATTTTGAGTATCCAGGAAATAAAAATGCATTCTGCATTCTGAGGAAGGATACAACAATTACTGCATATGTTTATTTGGCATGTTGATTGTGCTTGTAAGTAGCCATGAGGAGCTATGCAGAGCACCATCCTGGCTGGGAACTGATGTCCTGCTCTCTTCCCAGTTGGGCATTTGAGATTTCACCATATATATTTTCAGACTTACCTACGCAGACATGAGGGCTAGAAACTTACTGCTTTTTACAAAACAAATCCTGAGATTTTTCAGGAGGGTGTATTTTACAGTTAACACCAAATGCCATTGTGCTTGTGCAATGTGATATGAACTCAGTCAAAATAGGGTGGACTCAGCGTAGAGCCAGTGCCTTGCTGCAAAGAATCCACATACACTTCCCATTACCTTCTCAGTGACAATGGTTGTGGAGGATAATGTGAGGCTGGTGGGTGATTCTGAGCGTTTCTTGTGCTTCAGTTTAGGCCTTTCTTTGTCCTTCCGACTCTGTAAAAGGAAGAACAAAAGACAACGTTTTCTACCTTCCATCAGAAAGTAAGAAAGGAAACTGTTAAGGGAAAAGGCACCAGGTGATCATGAACGTTAAGAGTATATAACTCACAAACTGTTACTTTCTCCACCATCTGCAATACCTCAGCCTCCCCCTCTAAACATCTGCCTGAAACTACTGCCCCAGCTGCAGGCAACATCTGGCACATGCAAAATACCAAGAGAAGACCCTCAAATTCATATCAGATTCAGAACAACTAAGCTAAAAATTTATGTATAATGTGGAAGAAATGCAAGACTCTTCAGTTATAGATCATGAAAGAATTTCTCCTTCTCGGCCAGGTTCGTTAGATGTCTCCTGGATTTAGTATTTACTAAAAATATAATCTCTAAATCCTAAGCAAGTGTTGTCTGGGCTTTTTAGTACCCAGAAAAGTTTGACGCTTTATCCCAATAAAGTAGTCAAACAGTTCTGCTTAGACGTACTTGGTTTGTATTATGGCTCATTCGTTTCTGGTGGAGGAATGACTCAAGCCCCTTCTTGTTAACCAATGAAAAACCTAGTCACTAACCATGGCTCACCTTGCTGCCTGAGGGACTAGAAACATCTTTCAAATTAAATTAAACAGCATACTAGAATTATACCTGCTGTCAAAATCCTCCCCCACCCCCTGGCAAGTTTCATTAGTAGAAGTAACCAAACACATCCAGTCTTGTTTAGAGACTCAAGAGCAGTGCTGGCAGAGTCCTTTGCAGAGTCCACATGAAGGGCTGCTTCTCACTAGCATTTCAAAGGCTCAGGATGTATTCAAGGGATTTACTGGATAAATTTATAAGCACTTGAAGCCCTGTGGGAAAAGGCTTGGTTGTTGTTGTTTGTGTGGCCTTTGGTTCCACCCTATTTCCCTTCTGGCTCATCTGGGTCAGGAAGGGAATTCAGTATCATGCCCTCAAGCTTCTTCAACATTTGCCTAATTCATTCATTAGTCCATTCCTAACATGGGCAAATATTCTGGGGACATGCCATGTAGCTCAGCAGTTGAACACACATTTTGCATGCAAAAGGTTCCAGCATCAATCCCTGGCATCCTCAGTGAGAGGAGGAGTGGGGACCTCTTTCACCCTAAGAGCTGAGCTCAACTTCACAAAAGCTGCCCTTGGTCCCGCCCACGGTTGTGGGCAAGGGATGGCAAAGTTAAAGACCAAAGTGGGGCCAAAAAACCTCCTCCCACACATATCATAGCTTATGCCTCTTACTCCCAGTAATTAAGTTTGTAAGGAAAGCATTTCAGCTTTTAGAACAGGGAAAAACTTACACTTAAGATGGAAACCCACCAAACAATCTGTGTTTTGGAGAAGGGAGTATGGACAGCTGGGGAACATCAGATGAGCCAGATTGGGATCCCAGAAATGCTGGATTTGACCCTAACCCACTCCTGAATTAAAGACATCAGTTGATGGGAAAGGCCTTCGCCAAAGCCCTGGACAGATGCTGCCAGTCAGAGTATGGCCACATTGCCAGATTGTCTTGGGATGCGTTAGGGCCTGTGTCTCCCACCTGTGGTGCTTCTTCAGTACCCTGCAGTGGTACATTCATATGCAGTGTCTTCTATTTAATCATTACAGAAAGGCCAAAGTGTTCTAAGCTTGCCTGCAACCCACTTTGAGTATTTTATAGAAATGTAGGAGATAAACATTGATCTTTGCTTACTGTTGCCTACATTAGACATAATGCAGTGGTCACTGGATGCAATTCTCCTCTCTCACTAGTCTCTTGAATATTGCATCTTTTTCTGTACACAACACGTTCACTGGACTAAGGCATTTAGAGGATATACAATGGTTACCACTGCCATTTTCCTACTATAGGATATATTAACATGCAATTTAAAGAATATATTTTATTTTAATTTTAAAAATTATCTAGCCCTTGAGCCGGACTGTTTCAGGCCACAATTCATGGATTGTTTTGATTGTTTTCCGATTTTAATGTTGTAAGTCGTCCTGAGACGTTGTCATAAAGGACGGCATATAAATGTTTTAAATAAATAAAGTAAATTCTGGAAGCACATAGAAAAGGCACAGACTGCCTTTTTCGCATGACACACACATATTTTCCTCCTATTTACTTTGCAGCCATGAAATCTGCATTTATTTTATTTTAATTTATTCCATTTCTATACCTTCTGATAGCCAAAGCTCTCCTTTCTCCTCCATCTAGTTCTTTTTCCTCTTCTACTTTCTGCCCATGAAATGTGCATATGTTGCCAATTTTTTAAAAAGATGTGCAAATTTTCCAAGCAGTTAAAAAACACACTTTAGAAGTGGCAAACCATGATAAAACAAAGAGGGTGCCAGCACCAGCAGGAATTATACCTGTCACCAGCTAGCGTGACCCCGCCATTCACACCACTCCACTCAGCCACCTTCTCAGGATTTGTTTTAGATCTGTCAGGGAACTCCAGTAATGGCAACAGTGAATGCTACAAAACGGAGCCACAATGAATGGGGGATCAATATCTCCCCTTTCTGAAGATGCTGGAAACCTGGGGCAGCATGAAAAATGTGCAGTGCACTGAGAACTGTAATCCAGAGGATTACATTACTAAGAATGAGATCTTCTCATCAACCCCTTTTTGGTGTACCCATTTTTCTCCCCTTAGCAGTGATTTTCAGTTGACAGCTTAGCAACTGTATTTGCTCCCACTGATTGCTGAAATTTAAAAAGACGTCAGACAGGCAAGACTACGTGTATGGGACAGCTGGAAGTACACAGTTATGCACCTCTAAAAGAGTGACAAAATGTTTTTTTTAATTATGAACACAACTACACAATCTTCTCAGGCAAAAACAAACAAACAAACAAACCCTGACCCCAATGGCACATTTTTGAGGCTCTGGAAAAAAATGATAGCAAATGAAAGGGGGTAATCAGATGGGAAGACAAATCAGGTTCTACCTTAAAAGACCCTGGGATACTGGCTGCAGGATTAAAAGGGAAGGAGAGGACAACCTATAACAGGCCTGATTGTCTGTTGGATGTACTGGGGTTGTTCCATGAACAACCAAACAGCCATAGCTTATTTGCAATGTGTCTAACCATATCATGTAAACATGGCCACTACACATTGTGCATAGAGGTCAGCTTTCTCAGAATCTCAGCTTTCACTTTGCAAACTCAAAGACCTATCCCATAACGGAAGCCACGACCATGCTTGTAAACCGTCCCGAGACACTAGTAATGGGACACTATATAAAAGCTTTAAATACATAAAAATAAATAAATAACCCCTTAAGTTTACAAGAGCTGAGCTCGACTGGCAAGCACAGGATGTTTTGGAAGGCACTCATTCATAGGTTTGCTGTAAGTCAGAGCCAACTTGATGGCGAATAGCAAGATATACATGAATGTATGTAAGCAAAACTAGATGAAATCTTTTCTGCCAGAGAAGGGTTTGTTTTGCATCTCTCCCATATCAAGCAAAAGGAAAATAAAGTATGCAAGATTTACCTAATTTATACAGGTTACAGATATATTTCTTCCTGGCACAGAACCTGGATTGTCCAAAAGGAGATTTTAATTTTTTTAAAGCATAGAGTGGGCATGCACTGCACTGCTTTGGGTTTAGAAGAAGATGCAGAAAAGTGTGGGGCCAACATCTGGTGACATCTCAGGTCAAAACAGGGCTGAGGCACATTCTAGTGATCAGGTGTTATGTGTAGCTCTTTGCCCCTCCTCATGTCCCACCAGTACTTGGTCCCACCAGTATTTGGTGTCAAATACCATTGACACATCAATGGTATTTGACACCAAACAAAGGATGATTTACAATTCATTCCAGGATCAAACAAACATGTATTTTGGAGCTAAGACCAAATTAAAAGCTTCCAGCAGTTAGTACATTATTATTATTATTATTATTATTATTATTATTATTATTATTGATCTTATTTCTATACTACCCTAGAGCCTAAGCATTCTGTTCATAAAACAATACAATGAAATACCATGACATTTTCAATTATTTTGAAATATTTCAAATTAATTTAGAAACATGTAAAACAACATATGATTCAGAGTAAACCTGTTCAGCACCTCTGATGGCTACCTCCATCACACCATTAAATATCCTTGGATGTTTATAAATGCCTCAGCATAGAGGCCTGTCTTAACCTAGTGCTGAAAGGATGTCAAGCTTGTTGCTACTTCAGCCTCTGCTGGGAGATTATTCCACAGTTGGGGGGCTGCCACTGAGAAGGCCATCACTCTTATTCTTTCCCTCTGAGCCTCTCTCTGAATTGGCACACAGAAAAATGTTCTAGATGTTGAGCATAGTATCTAGTAGATAATGGTATATAAAATTCCAGATAGACCATTAAAAGCAGAGGCCAGTAAACTCTGAGCCCTCACAACGGACAGCTCCAGTCCTGCCTGACCGCTCAGCTGCTTTTTGGGCTCTTGCTGCCATCCCTGGAGGAAAGGAGGGGGCATGTTTTCTCTCTCGGTTCTCTCATGGATTTTTTCCCCTTAGATGGGCCTGAAAGCACACCTAGCTTCCCCCTCTGTGTTAGGAACAGAAGAGAGGCCAAGAAGGTATTGGGTCCACAGATTCCTCTCCTCTGTTCCTGCCACATTCCCTTCCTCTTCTTTGATTTTAGTGTCAGTTGTTTTATTGGGTCCTGGTATCTCTTCACTGTCTTCAGCTCTTTTAATTTGTTTTACATTTTTAATGTTAAAGATGTTGTTGCTGTACATTTATATCCTGCCCTGTTTCCATGTTAAAGAGACCTAAGACAGCTTGCATGGTCCTCCTCCTCTTCTCCATTTTATTCTCACAGCAACCCTGTGAGGTAGGCTAGGCTGAGAGTCACTGACTGGCCCAAAGTCACCCAGTTGGCTCCATGGTTGAGCAGGCATTAGAATCTAGGCCACCTGAATCTCAGGCCCACACTCTGAACCACTACACCACACTGGCTTCACTTTTGTGAATCACCCG